ACAATTGAACAACACGCAAATGTCTATAACGTCTTAAGACAAAGGGAGCGCATGCAGTTTAATATAAATGGTCGAATCGTCTTAGGTTAGGCTCTATACCAAAATAATGTATTTCATCTCGAGTGATGTAACACAAAATGTTCGTCAGTGTATCAAGGTGCACAATGTCACATAAACTGAGCAATTATCTGTAATGTTTATATTGCTTCCGGTGTGTCTGCTTACTTTTCACAACTGTCCCTCCCCATTCTCAGCATGTTTTATATAAATAGTGGCGAAGAAAAAACGCTGGGAAGCAGCAAGTGTCATGTGTGACGGTTGAACTCTGGTAAAAATGTTTGAACTTCTTCGGAAGTGACTATTATATATATCGATAAAAGCCGACGTGTGTGTTGTAGGTCTTTATTTAGTACTTTCTGTAGGACCATCTGTAGGACTGTCTTTATGAATGACTGTATGTTTATATCTTAATAGCTGGCAGTTAAGATGTACAGCTGTTTATCGGCATAGCGTTTTAAGGCCGGCATATATTATAGAAAATAAGACGTTCACTTGTTTTGTAACTCTTTGACTCACTGGGGATTTTATCAAATACTTGGACATGGTGTAAAAAGTAGCCCGCATTTTAAGCCCTAGTTTATAAGATTTATGCTTAGATGACATGTAGACGAATTGATAGCTTATGTTGCCAATATATATAAATCGGTTGAAATCTGTATTTGTAAACCTTCCTAGTTTCACTTTTGGCTCTTAAATATTTATTATGCGATTTTTCCCTTTTTTTATTTCAATTTTGACTGATGCTCGCAGGCAGGGACAGTGATCAGTGGCACTCTCCCATTAGACAATTTTGATTTTTAAGCTTAGTTAGCTCTTGTTTGTTTCGAAATTGTTTTTTTTTTTTTTTTCTAAGCGTTTTTAGAGTGCAAACATGGTCCTTTAGCATGTCTTGCCCCGTTCATCCCTAATATTGTACAGCACAACCTTCGGAATCTCAATTTCCTCTTTACCTAAGAATGGAGAACCGGTTGCAAATTTAAGATGTGTATGAATTCCTGTGTCAGGCTATTTGCCCTGCTGTTGAATACGTAGAATGCAGAGAATACGCTTCAGACCATTTTTGATTGCAGCTATTCAGTTTCCGCTAACGACTGTCACAGACCATTTTTTATTGCAGCTATTCAGTTTCCGCTAACGACTGTCACAGACCATTTTTTATTGCAGCTATTCAGTTTCCGCTAACGACTGTCACAGACCATTTTTTATTGCAGCTATTCAGTTTCCGCTAACGACTGTCACAGACCATTTTTTATTGCAGCTATTCAGTTTCCGCTAACGACTGTCACAGACCATTTTTGATTGCAGCTATTCAGTTTCCGCTAACGACTGTCACAGACCATTTTTTATTGCAGCTATTCAGTTTCCGCTAACGACTGTCACAGACCATTTTTTATTGCAGCTATTCAGTTTCCGCTAACGACTGTCACAGACCATTTTTTATTGCAGCTATTCAGTTTCCGCTAACGACTGTCACAGACCATTTTTTATTGCAGCTATTCAGTTTCCGCTAACGACTGTCACAGACCATTTTTTATTGCAGCTATTCAGTTTCCGCTAACGACTGTCATATATATATACGGCCCACTCTTAACTGCCCTAGAAGATTGTACTGAAGACACATTATTGGTAGACGAGTAGCACATGAAGTAACTTATTTCATTTTGGTCATTGTTGATATCCTTAATAAATCATAAAATGAATTACGTTTTGCTAAATAACTCCATCCACAAATTTAGAGACTCGCTCCAGGCTGAGATGATATCCCTCTCTCTAATTTGAAGTTTTGTGAGTTTTATCACATTGATAAAAGTTTAAATGTAACTGTTACATATTAAATTTAAATACAGAATATAATTTAAATATTATTATAATGTATGTAAAAACATATGTCTTTCTATAGATTTATATTATATTAATTAAATTCATGTGAATAAAATATTTTTAAGTATTTTCATTAAAATTTAAGGCTGTTGTCCTGAGAGGCTCCGAAACTTTACCTTTGAAAGCTATAATTCCCCCTCTGCTATTGTTTTTAATTATGGATACAACAATGGTTCGAAGCCTATCTATTCCGTTGTCTCTAACACAACAGCGGTGACGATGGTGAGGGTTGAAAATTATGATTTGGTACTTTCGATATGTGAGATGGAAATATACGGGGGTAAGTAATTAAACTTTGTTGGCGTTTCTAATAAAATACGTTTTTAGCAAAAATGATTTCTTTAAAAATTGTGCCTATTTTTATTTTTTTAATCAATTTTTATAATGTTTTATAATTTAGGTTTAAATGTACTTAAGTATAACATTAGTAAGATTTGCTGATCTGATATTAATTTGTAAATTTTAGAATTAAAAAAAAACAAAAAAAAATCTTTCAGTTAGTTTATCTTATTTTCAAAAAGATAGTACGTGCATTTGATTAATTATAATACGTTAATATCTTTATGTCATCGTATGTTATATTAGACAACTTAGGACTTTTCAGTTTAATCTTTTCTTGAAATTCATCATTAACATGCTTCCAAAACATTGTGATTGTCCACATAACAAGCGTGTGCCTGCATCACGGGTTAGTTGACTAACTATGTAGTAGACCTACTGTAGACCTGTTTACTTTGATGATTTTCGAGACCACTTTTTGATGTCTTTTGCGATTTTTCGTCGAGACTGGTCAGGACAACAATTTAAAGAGACCCGGTTTTTTACTGATATTAAGTTGACATTGGCTCTTGTAGAGTCACAATAATAATTGTGGATATGTGTCTAGGTAGCATTGTAATTATATTATAAAAGCAAAAGGTCTATCTTGCAGGCCTTTCCCTTCTCCCCCCAACCCGGTCCAGAATTTCTCTTATCATTCTACTTTAAAAACGATTTTAACAAAATTGAAATTACTAGTTATTAAAACGATAAGCTACAAAATTTAGTAGATGCTTATTTTTTAATATTCCTGATGTTTTGATTTTTTAATAAAACGAAAATCAATGTTCGAAACATGTAGAATGTGTGCGCGTACGATTTCTAATATCTAAATATTTCTTTTAGTTTCGATTTTGGCCGAAAGTCACGTTAAGCTTTTGGTTTAGGTTTCGGTTTTGGTCAAAAGTCATGTTTAACTTTCGGCCTAGTTTCCGTTGCGAACGCAATCAGAAAATAAATTTCGGCCGGTATCTAGTCAAAATTAAAAGGAATCATTTGTTGCAATCTCAATCTGTTTTAATTGTATAATTTCTAAAAGGGAGTAAGCCATGCATAATTTTTTTTTTTTACAGAGCGTATCTGCCCTGAAGGTCTGTATGGTCTTGAATGTGGGCAAAGCTGCAACTGTGCAGCCAATGGTGGTTGTCTATCCAACACTGGAGCTTGCCGAAGCGGGTGTAAGGCTGGATTTTTTGGCGAAGGCTGTTCAAAAGGTATATATGAAATATTTCCTAAAAAACTAGTGAACATTAAAATTTGCCTTCTATAATAATGAACATCATTTCTGTACAATATAAATGTATTAACTGAGTTACCAATTTAGAAAAAGAGGTGTCATTAAATATGCTTGCTTGATTGCTTTTGGTTTAAAATATAAATTCATTTTTTGCAAGACATACGGGGTCTATAAACTTAGATGAGTAAACATAGTGTTAGAAAAATATATTTTTTTTTTAAGTTTCCGAAAATCACGTTTACTCTACGAAAAGACAAGTTTCAAGTTGAAATTCAACAATGTCTTTCTTCTCTATGTATCTGCTTTGTTAGGTCAGACATGAAAAAACAAATTTGTGTTTGTATGTTGTTTGTATAATTATTAAATAAAAAAGTATATACAACGTTAGCGCCTAAAAAAGCATATAACTTGGCTTTAAAAAAACAAAAAGCAACGAAACAAATGCGTTTGTGTATCAAATAACAACACACAGTCATGGCGTTTGAGCATGAGACATTATTCTATTTTCAAGCATTTGATTATTGTAAGATATCCTCACCATTTTCTCACCATTTTTTCTCTCCATACGAGTATATAATTTTAAATACAGCTTTCAAAAATGTGTGTTCCATGTTTCCTTTAATTACGGACAACCTAAAGTCTTTACAGACACTTACGGGTGGGTCGTTTTACGTCAAATAATGACGGACGTTTCTAACTTTATGGACGGTTGGCGACCGTGGTGACACCAAACGGATGATTGCAATTCGACAGCGCTCGCTCGAGTTGGATTCATAACATATACAAAGCAGGATGCAACCAGAACTGATTGTTTCAAATACAAGGTGCCGCCCTAGTGCCTTTTCAATAAATTGTGTCGCGTAACTTATGTTTGTGATGATCTAAGCTGGCCATGAGAAAGGGAGGGGGGAGGATGAAAATATGTTCCTGTCCTCTAGAGAAAATTCGCCTCATTTTTGTTTGGATGCCTGGCTGGCAAAGTCTTCGGACGGTTAATTGACCCACGTCAACCTATAAAGCTGAAACTTGGACGATAGACGTGTTCCCCTTGACGAAACATTCGTTCCGAATTTGATCTTCAAAAGCCAGAAAGTAATGCTTTATCTGTAACGACTTATGTTTTAATAAAACGTCATTTTGATGCATGTAATAAATGATGTTTTCCTCTTGCCCCTTGTTTTAATATTGGACTTAATTTATAAATAATTACTATGATCCATTCTGTATAGTCAGGGTAAGAGTTAGACGGTGGAGGTCCAGGGAGGGGGGTCTGGAAAAATGGAGTTTTTACATCAGTTAACTGAGTTTATAAAAAATTGTGTAAATTTATGTAAATTTATAAATGCTTAAACAATTTAACCAACACTAATAATTGATTTACCTACAGCTATATATCACACCACTAATATAGCATTTATTGTTTCAATCAGCACTACTCACGGATATAATCGACGGACAAGATACTCCCTTGGCTGCCATAATAGCCCCAGTGTTGGCCGGAGTTGTGTTTTTCTCACTGCTAATTGTTGCATTTGTTATTTGGCGGTGAGTTAATTTTAATATACACAAAACAAGACCAAAAAAATCTATTTTAAAAAAATGTCTTTATAGAAATAAGCCACACAAAAAAAGCGGTTGCAATTCGTAAACTTCCTATTTACTCAAATTACTTGAAAAAACATGAATTCAAGTAACGCATTTTATAAGAACCCCATATGGTGTGTTACTGTGATGCCCACATAATTATTAATTGTTAGTACATGAGAAGATAAAAAATAAGTATGTTTCTATTCACAATATGCTATAAATTAGCGATAGGAACCTTTGGCCCGCGGGCCATATGCAGCCAGCTGAAACGATTAGTGCGGTCCACAAGACATTCCGATAACTGGATTTATGTGTGCGTATAAATACCAAATATATATATATATATATAACTAAGTATTTGGGAAATGAGCCCGTAGAAACTTCTAGGAGCCCTAATTTAATGACGTTTATGATCTATATTAAACATGTGATCAAAATGACAATTTCGTTTTTTCTTGACGGTGCTCTGCTCACTAATGTTCCCCAATTATTTTAAAGAAGCTGCTTATGGACAAGATTGTAATTTCATAAGAACATAATATTAAGGTTTGAGAAAAAGCTAAGCATGTACAATACCCACCAAAAGTTGGACGTTTCAATTAAGAAGCCGCCGGCAGCAACATAGAGACACAAAACAAAATCCATTTCTTGAGGTTATTTTTAAGGCACATGCCTTTTTGTTGTCATATAAATAAAAAAAAATTGTTTGTTAATTCTTCTATTGTGTTGGTTTGGGGAATGGTCTTGCCTTAGCCAAGATTGAGTTGGTATACAGCATATGGTAAAATAATGTCTGACTGGAAAGAACGTTTTAAAGTCCTCTGAAGAAGATCCATTTTATGCAGCTGACAATTTTTAATTTATACCCCTACTATTTATAGAAAACGAAAAATGCAATCAACTCAAAACAAAGGAGAAGAAGTCCAAACACGGCAGCAAATACCACCAGCGATGATTGATGTCACCAGTGCAATAGGACAAGGTAGCTACTAGTTGACGATACATCATTATTACCTTAAATGATGCTTAAAATAATATGTTACTTGAAGCGCAATGTTTCCTGTTTGCCTAAGGCGAATCACCAGTCAAATGAAATTAACCCTTATCACTCAGACCCCAATTCTTGACCTTTTGCATTAGGATGAGTTTGGATGAGGTTGTATGAAATTTAGATATTGCCTAATGGAGAATATAGATGTCAAGGCTGAATGGAAACGGCAGATGGTGAGCGTGGGTTTGGAAAACAAACTATGGTTATTTAGGTGGGAAAAAATGTTTTTTAGAGCTGGTGAATGGAGATTTTGAGGAAATGGAATGAAGCAGACATACACTTAAACAACTCATATCAAAGACTGTGGGGTTAACGTTATGAACGACCTGTGGGATTACTTCTGTAAACAGTGAAACTTAATGGTGTATTATACTGTGGATTAATATAAAGAAAAATAAGAAACTAAGATGGCCAGAAAAAAAGTAAAATAGGTTAGTAATACTTAAAACGATTTCATAAATCTGATGAATTCTTATTATTAATTTTATCGTGTGTATGTTTCCCCGCGTCTGTCAATCCGGAACCCACGTTTGACGATAAGAATGACGTAATTTACATGTTAAATTTTATGTTTAATTCTTTGTTCATTCAATTTTGTTACAAGCACAAACAAATGCCTGTGCGAATGTAGGTCAAATCAACACATTTATTAGGACAGTGGATTTGAACACATTTTTGCAGACCCATAACAAGGAGTTCTTTGTTAAACAGTTTGAGGTAAGCTTGAAAACTAGCTCATTCATACACCAACACAAAGACACATGCCAACACAGAGATACATACTAACACAGAGACACGTGCCAACACAGAGACACAGGCCTTCACGGAGACACATGCCAAAACAGAGACACACGCCAACACAGAGGCACATGCCAACACAGAGACACATGCCAACACAGAGACACATGCCAACATAGGGACACATGCATACAAATATATATATACAAAGACAAAGATGGCGAGAGAGAGAGAGAGAGAGAGAGAGTAGCATCACGTATATTTATCCTCACGTGTACCGTAAGGCATTATTGGGCGCATACATAAATGAATTTATTAAAATATCTTTTTATGGCATGTGTTACCAGATTGTATTCGTCACTTTGGAATTGATAAAAATATATATTTTATCATGTATAGACTGAGGTATTAAAAACAAATAGAAGTAATCAGCAAATAAACATTATTGTGAGCAATATTGTATTTATGTTAAAGGTAATATTAAATTGTTTTATGCAAAATCTTGTAACACTAATCACAGGGTCTTCCTGAAACTCTAAATGTGACAAGTAAGGTTGGACTCAAACATTTTGACAAGAAAAAATACAGAAATGACGAAATTGTACCATGTAAGTCATCATAACAAAACTAGCACTGATCATCTATTCCACACTGCACACATTATAATTTTAAGAAGTGGAATTTTGTTTATCGCTTTAAAAAAAAACACCAAAAAAAAAACACCTTTAAAATCATCGAGTTTAATGACCCCGCCATCCCACCACCCCCCCCCCCCCCACACACACACACTTTCCTTCCCGGAGCTTGTTTATATTCCCTGACCGTTGTACGAAGTACAAAACACAACAAGTCCGCCTTAACGACATGTCAATGAAACGTCTACCGTTAAATTTTATGGTTTAATGATTTTATTTTTCGTTTGTTTTCTTAACCCTATCCTAATGCAACTACGAGTAAACTCTTCCTCAAAACTTTTAATAGAGTTATTTTTAAAAAAAATAGCGTTTGCTTAGAGGGCACCAAGTGAAATCACTGACTTGGCAGTGTTTAAAGATGTTCTAGCTTGTAAATAGCATACTAAAAGGGACAAATGATAACGTCTGAATAGCCCTTTAAGCTACCAACCTGTCCTGAATGCAACCCCAAACGTACCGTTAATGTGATATTAAAGTTTAGGGATCTCCCAATACACTCACACAGATTAACACATAAAAAAACATCAATAAATCTTACACAGATACACATAAAAACACAAATAAATATAACACAGACACACATTAAGACATCAATAAATCATACAAAGATACACACATAAAAACATTAATAAATCTGACACATCTAAACTAGATTAGATCTAGACTACACACATTAATGAAACATGAAGTATTTCATGACAATTTCTGTTTGATTTGTACTTAATTCAAATAAACAAAATCGTGGACTAAAATAAGAGTCTGGACTAAATCTTCAAGATGAACATCATCTCCCGGCTCGTCATCGAAAATCGTTTCAGACTCATCTATGCTTGTTTCTGTGTCAGAGTCATCATTCATTATTGCTTGTTTTTCTCCTTTCCAGCCCTTTTACATTTTACAATCTCCTGCTCTTCAGCCGTGTTTAGATAGGTTCTTTCTGGTGCTCTGCTGATTCCTCGTCGTCCAGTTAGTTTATTTATGAAAGTTGCCCATGGAATGCCATAACCTTCTGCATCATTTCTCTTAGGCGTTCCATCATCAACACCTTTTAAAGCTTCCAACAAAACTTGTTGGGTTTAATTTAGATTATATCTATTCATATTCATTGTGCTGCTTCTGGGGAAAACATAGTCTAGATAGTGTAGTGTGTTAAGAGGTCAGAAAATGTCATGATGCTTTTAGACTATGAACACCATATCAAACAACTATGAACAACATATCAAACAACTATGAACAACATATCAAACAACTATGAACAACATATCAAACAACTATGAACAACATATCAAACAACTATGAACAACATATCAAACAACTATGAACAACATATCAAACAAAAAGCCTCAATTTACACAACAAATGTAAACATAGCTTTTTATTTAATAGTTTATAAAAGCATAGACGGTGTCTAGATATAAAATAGCTCTAAATCTTAATAAGAATACTATAATAGCCCTACGCATACGTTATGGTTACACAAATGACAACTAAAATGTTACTTTCCTAATTGCATCCATTGTGGTTCAACATGTCACATCACACATGTTTGCCTTGCCTTGAGTGCAACCAGCGAGACATCATACTTGTCTATCACATTTGACACAGTTGATCGTGTTTACAGTTTATTTGAACCTTTACACAACCTTATCACAACAGTAGCAACTCATTCACGCCATATACTAAAGATACCTAACATAGTGAACAACTTACCTTAAAATGTCAAAGACAGATGTTCTTTTTTGTCAAATTTTTACTATAAATACCGTATTCCGAAATGGTAGTAAATGATCCGGAAGTAAAAGCCAAACAGTAGACCAAGGAGAGTCTACTGACGATATCTTTGTTTTGGCATAGCTCCTATATCGAGAGTTAAGTACAGGCGTTGTCCAAAGAACTGGTTGCACAAGGGGCAACTTACTCCTTTAAACAAATAATTTGTATTTTATTATTTACTTTTTTTTTAAACGACAATAAAAAGACATTTCTGAAAAAAAAAATCCTAATGTTACGGATCAGACAAAGAAATTGCCTGCTTTAGTTAAAATGCATTAATCTAATCTTCTTTTAAAACATTACTTTTAAATAGATACTTAATTGATTCGAGAAAATAATCCACCTAAGTGCATGTAAGTCTCTTTTTTTATGTAAATTGTCTTTATTTCTACAACATATTTTCTTTTAAATGTAGTGCATTTAATTATTGTATACAAGCCAAACTTGCAGCTGCAATGCGCGAACATTCTATTTAATAAAGTCCCTTGACACAACATGCATTCGAGTTACATAATTTATACGATTCCTTATTAGTGATCTCCCTTTCATCATTAGTGATCTCCCCTTCGTCACATCATTACTCCCTGAAACGTATTAATATTATGATGTTCAACCATCTTTCACACCGCAGATTTATCACGTCAACTTTCTCCGGAAAACAAAATAAGATATTACGCACTTGAGCTATTTTTATGAATCTCATTTAGCGCATTTATCGATAGTATTAACATTATTGAATTACTACGAAGATAATTGTTTATTTTAATGATGTTCTTAATGATTATTTCTTTGGCATCCACCCTTTTCGGTCTCATAACCTTTCAAGACTTCTCTGACAAAAGTCGGAAGCCTTTTCCATATTTTGCGAAGAGATCCTACTGTTTCACCCTCGGGGATTCCCCATGCTCCACGGAAGCTGATGATCTCAAGAGGGCTTCAGATAATCGATACAATTGAACTTTCAGGGTGGTTGGGTTGTGGACAACATTTTAAATTAAGTGCAATGACATATTGCCCAAATGTACCCTTAAGTTCATTAAACCTTAGATTTTCGGAGCGCACAGCCTGAATTTTTACTCGGAATTTTTCTTCCCACATATGTGATAACATACAAAGTTTACATGAACTGGATGAATATCATGGATTTGATCTGCTCTTTTTATTGCTCTACATTCGACACAATAACACCATCAAAGGATGTGTTATCATGCCTTTGTAATGTTTTTTTTTTTTTAAATTCAACCAATGCTTCTCATCTGTGAGCTTAGCATAATCTTTAACATGTCTACCAAATTGACACAATTATTGTCTATCTTTTGTTTCAATTTTTCGATATATTATTCTTGCTTTTAAAAAAAAAGTACATCATGTTTATTATCTTGTGTAAATAAAACATACAAAAGATGAAAATTAAATTCCTTTAAATTAACTTAATTATTTCAAATAAGTGTTAAGACGTATTCTTAGATTTCTTATACCATGCCCAAATGGTTCAGTTTAAAAAAAAAAAGTTTTTAAATTGTTATGTTATGTTTTGTTCAGATGATTACTCACGAGTTCATCTAGAGATTAACACAGAGGTTAACGAAGGAGATTATATCAACGCGTCCTATGTCAAGGTAAAATATAAACTGTGCTTGTGGTTGTATTCTACCACATCTTTATTTAACACATTTAGTTTCAAGTCAGCTTTTTAAGTATTCATACAAGAGCTTTCCTCCAAAAAATCTAACATTACAATTATTTTTACAGGGCTATAAAGAATCAGAGAACTTCATTGCTTCTCAAGGTAGAGCCTATATTAATGATCCAATTTCTTTTTTTGTCGTATGCTTGTTGCTTTAATAGTTTAAAAAAATCGATCAAAGTATGTAAAAAGTTACTTGACATAACAAAAAGATTTGTAACTCAGAAGGATGTGGTTTGGAAGTTAATGTATTAAATATTTTTTTTCCAGATCCCAACATCGCAATGGTTAACGACTTCATTCGAATGTTATGGGAACAACAAGTTGAAAAAGTCGTGATGCTTACAAACTTGATGGAATATGCTGAGGTTAAACGATATTTACATTTATATTAATTTGATTGAAGGATAAATAGTTTTTTCTTTTAAATGTATATTGTAATTTTAATTTTAAGATTATTTAAGTGTTAACTTATTTTACAAATAGTTCAAATATTAACTTATTTTACAACTAGTTCAAATGTTAACTAATTTTACAAATACTTATTTTAGGAAATTATTTACAATTAGGCCAATTATTTACTTATAATAGAAATGGCTCTCTTTTGAGCTTATTTAACAAAAGGTCAATTATTAACTAATTTTACAAGTAGTTCTCTTAGGAAATTATTTTACAACTAGGTCAATTATTAACTCATTTTACAAATAGTTCTCTTAGGAAATTATTTTACAATAAGGTAAATTATTTACTTATAATACAAATGGCTCTCTTAGGAAATTATTTTTACAAATAGTTCAATTGTTAACTCACTTTAGAAATAGTTCTCTAATAATCTTATTTTACAACTAGCTCTAATATTAACTTCTTTTACAACTAGTTCCATTTTCTATCAACTTTAAATCAGACACAATGTGAACGATATTGGCCAGAGGAAGGCGAGAAGGAGTTTGGTGGTATCAAAGTCAAGCTGACAACAACCCAAGTCTGCACTGATTTCACTATTAGAAGGCTTGAACTCAGAAAGGTAAACACTGGCAGAGTTGGCGCGTGACCTTTGAGAACCACGGCCAATGTTCAGTTTTCGTCATTTAGATTGTAAATGCAATTATTATTATTGTTTCGTGTCATCGCGACAACTTTGGTTAAATTTAGAAACGGATGCTTTCCTACAGTCCCATCTGAGTCACATGTGTTTCAAAGCAAATATGACTGCTTTGACAATACATTTTATCAAGGGAAAATTACTTTATTAATTATTTTTGCAGATTAAAAAAAAAAATTGTTAGTTATACATTGAATATTTTTTTCCTGAAGTTGGTTTTACAGGTTTGTGAAAGGTCAGGCTGCCTGGTTTTTGTGTTTGACAAATTACTTTTGGAAATGTATTTCATTAACTGTATATTATTAGTCTTTGCTTAGAATTGTTGATTTTTTAAAATTTGTAATGATATCTTTATGCGTTAAATCATATGCTGAATATGAATATAAACACATGGCTCAAATTATGCTTGTTTGGGTTAATTAAGAAATATTAAAGTCAAAGCAGAACGATACAATATAAACTAGAATATATGATGCAACGTTACCAGGATTATAAAGGCAGACATTGTGTGTTATTTTCTTCCTGCTAGTCGAAAACTCATCAGAATGCCTTATTAAAATAAAAATTTATTATTAATGATATTTACATTTCTAACAACATTTAGTTTTCTTAAACATTTATAAGCTATATAATACCCGCGTACCCTAACCCATTTTATGACATTGAACTACAATTTAATTCTCAAAATTTAAAATATTGTAAGTTTACAACAAAAAATCTATTTAAAAATTTAAATAAATATATATTTGATATCTGCATTAAAGACGTAAGAGAATAAAAAGTGCGGGGGGGGGGGGGCGCTATATGTTTTTTTTTAAATCCAATGATATTAAAGCAGTGAAAAAGAAGTGAAAGCTTTTCTTTTAAAAAAAATCATCTATTTAAAAATTTAAATAAATATATATTTGATATCTGCATTAAAGACGTAAGAGAATAAAAAGTGCGGGGGGGGGGGGCGCTATATGTTTATCTTTAAATCCGATGATATTAAAGTCGTGAAAAAGAAGTGCAAGCTTTTCTTTTAAAAAAAATCAATTATATATGTTATAAAAATTACATCTCAACGAGTAACTTACACACGTTGACCTATACGTCAAGTCAGGAAGGGGAAAATAGAAGATTGGTTTTCTTTGCAACTCAAGATATTCAGATTTTCCTAACAAAATTTCGATATTTAAAAATGTATTTTCAGTTTTTCTTAAAATTAATGTTCGAATAAGAAGTATTGAGAAAATTGTTGGTTTATAACAATGTCTTAAAACCCAATCAATTTACGCGTAAAAAAATACTATTTTAAAAATAGAGACTTATTATTTGCACTTACAGGAGCATTCAAAAAGATGGCGTACGATGTTCTTTCAAAATATGAAAACAATATTTTTGCTTCCATTTTGCGAAAAGTAAAGTTATTTGTAAATTTGGTGCATATATTTATGAAATTATTAATATTACTGAAAAAAGCAAGGGTGTTCCAGAATGGAACATTTTTTAAGTGATTATTTTTTTTTAGATATGAGAATTATAATTTTACTATTTCCGATTTTCCGATATGGTAGAGAAGCGAGGTTACATTTTGGTTAAATTTTTATTGAAGATACAAAAATATCAAATTCCATTATTGCTAAATATAATTAAAATATTATTATATACATATAAATATATTTTTTCAGAGCGTAAACATGGGTAGAGTAGGCCTACAGCTTATTGCAGATAAATATTTCTGAACATTAAAAAAAAAACAACTTAGAAACGTAAACATCAATGCACAGAGACTTTAAACAAGGAAAGTCTGGAGAATTTAATTCAATGTTTTATAATGTTGTCGGACTGTTCTCAGTTTTATAAGTAAAAATTTAATTGTTAAATATTTAGTCTTCGCAATAGCCTGTGGATTATATAGTAAAGTTCCTACTTTTATTATTAACGTAACATCGGGACATATCTTCTAGTAGAAGTATTTATTATGTCTAGCTGAATAATATATTATAAAATTTAATATAAAAAGTAAAAAAAAAAGAAAAATTCATAAATGTTATTGGATTAAATTGTATGCATTACAAAAAAAAAACATTAAAAAACATTAAAGACTTAAAAACATTAGATTGGCTACTACAGAAATATATATTTAATACATAGAAATTTGGTTTGACAATATAGATTATTTTTTTAATACATTTTATAAAGCAAATGAGCTAAATTATGGGACTAGGATGTGTTATATATAATGAAACATGTATAGTTCTTCTTCCATAAATCACAGATCAATACAAAAGTACAACATGTTACACAGTTCCACTTCACCTCTTGGCCTGACACAGGAGTTCCTAAAACGCCATGGAGTTTTGTAGATTTTGAACAGAGAGTAGCCGCTGAGCCTACAGAAAAACCAATTGTTGTTCACTGCAGGTGTGTCTTAGACTTCATCCAAAAGTCTTTATAGACCAGTAAATTACAGCTCTCATCCACAATGTATCACTAAATTTGTAATATAATTTAGGAAATTAACATTTAGAAAAATAAAAGAGACGTTATATATACTTTGTATGTCTTAATATGCTAGTGCTAAAAACCGTAAATATTTACTTTTAAAAGAAGATTAAGAAATTATTACTGCAAAATGGGTGAGATTTCAAATTTAAAAGGGAAGTAACTGAATATTCCAAAATGCAGCACTTGTCCAAAGTTGTCTTTCCTGTTAAAAAAATTAAAAAGAAAATGTAAAACCCTTAAAAATTAAAACAAAAAATGTAAAAGAGCAACGGCTTTAAAAAAAAAAAAAAAAAAAAAAATGTTAGCTATCGTATCTTCAGTTACAGATTTACATGAGACTGCAATTGGTTACTTTAAAATATATTTGTAGCTTAGTCCTCTTCTAATGTAATATTAGCAAAAAATTATTGGTTAAAAATTATTAAAAATTGTTTAAAATTATTAAAAATTGGTTAAAATTATTAAAAATTAGGTTTTACAATTTCAGTTTGAATAAGTCACATTTGAACGAGCACTTAAAGCCTTTATTTCTATCTAGATTGATTTTTTTATAAACATGAGTTAAATACCTAAAGTTATCAGTGTTTTTCCCTCTTTTTCTTGTTTGTATCATTTGATTTGAATATTGCGCAAACAAAAACATACAATAGAGGTTTAAGTGTTTATTCATTGAGAATTAAAACAATTTTGTTGTAATTAAACAATTAATTAAACTTATTAAACCAAACTTCACAAGAAAATTTTGCAACTTTACCATATTTTTAAAAAATGGGTTAATTTTAATGTTCTTAGTTTAATTACTGTATCAGCTGATATTAATATTTCAGATCCGGTGTGGGTAGGACAGGCACATTTATAGCCCTGTGTAATGTGATTTCCCAGGCACAAGACACAGGAGGAATGGACATTTTCCAAACAATTGCCAAACTACGCAACGACAGAATGCTCATGGTTCAGACTGAAGTTAGTATGCAAACGTTAGTTGCTCATACGTTATATTGTAACATGATAGTTGTAAATGCCCATCTACACTACATTGTCTTTACATAGGCATATCCAGGGTTTAAAACATATATTCTATTCATCTTTTTTTTTTTTTTTGTTTGTTTTCTTCCTTTATGGGTTACATTCAAGTGGTTTAAAAAACAAAAAAACATATTTTTTTTTTTTTTTACATAGGCATATCCAGGGTTTAAAACATATATTCTATTCATCTTTTTTTTTTTTTTTTTTGATTTTTCTTTTCCATTTTGGGTTACATTCAAGTGGCTTAAAAAACAAACAAACATATTTTTTCTGTTTTAATCTACACAGGAACAATACGAGTTCTTACACAGAGCAGCTCAGGTAGCTTTGCTGTGTCTGGGAACTACTGTTACTGCAGCTAATATCAAAGAGAGAGTAAAAGTATTGGAGACAAAGACTCTTACAGGAAAAACTAACATGGACAAAGAATTTGAGGTGAAATAAAAATTATAAATTCCGAATGGAAATAGTATTGTTTATAGAAATGTAAAATATATTATGCTCTTTTTACAATAATTATATTACTTATTAAAGAAAAAATATGACTTAAAGTGCTAATGTAAAAGTTATTGGATGTGAATTAGGTTAAACTCATTTATTTGTCCAAACTTTGATTATATAATTTTTTACATTTTACCAAATAAGTTGCTTAGTTTTTTTTCTTCAATTTCTTAATATTTCTTCTTCAAGGCTGTCTGCAATGTTAGTATTAACATGCATAAAAGTATAATGGCGGAAGAAGTCAGAAGCGACAAGAGAGGCATTTATCAGAACACGTCAGCTCTAGGTCAAAGGTCACATAACAGATTCCCAGAAATCATTCCACGTAGGAGATTTCTCAGCTGCTTAAAAAATGTTAAGATAAACTTTAATAAAAGCGGCTAAATCTTGAATCTAGTTATTTATCAAAAGTGTAATTTGTATGTTGTAATTATTTTATAGAACATTAAAAAAAAATTATATTACATTTTTAAAATTAAATTTTGTTTATATGCCTTGTGTTATATCTATTTTAGTCTTTTATATTATTCTAATCTCCAGCCGATGCTTACAGAACTAGGCTATCAAAAGAAAACAAAGATATGGGAGATTACATAAACGCTATACTGCTACCGGTATTCAAACAAAGTTTTCATCTCTTAATTTGTGTTTGTTTTGAGTAAAAGTATAGAAAATTATATAAATGATTATAAAACTTTTTTAATATTAATCATTATGATAAATCTTGGGAGATTAAAGAACAACAAAAATATGTGCCAAATGATTACTTGTTAAGGCTTAAAAGGCTTAAAAAACTACTCATGTTACATCCAATAATCACCTCTTCTCTTCTTCTTCTTCTATATCTTAAGGGCCCACGATCAATTTATTGATCATTTTGGCTCCTATGCATGTAGATGGGATTCTGTTACTGGTGGTGATGAGGAAATTATGCACTAGGGGTTTGAAGGCTTGAGGCAATAGACACAAATGTGTCTAGTGTTGTCGCCTCAACCGTTCCTTTTGAAAGATGGTTCCAGTCCCTGATTGTCTTGGGCAGGAATGAGCAGCTCCTATACTGGCTTCTTGCTGGTATGAGCTTGAATTGCCTGTCATGGCCTCGTCGCTGTCTATGGGGGAGAGGGACGAGTTTCTGTTTAATACTGGAACAGTGGACCAGCCCATTATTTATCTTGTACATCATGGAGAGCCTGGATTGTCGTCATCGTTTCTCCAATGGTGACCAGCCTAGTGTTTCCAGCATGCTTCTGTATGTCTCCCTTGAGCATGACTACTTTACCTCACAACTTCTGTATGTCTCCCTTGAGCATGACTACTTTACCTCACAACTTCTGTATGTCTCCCTTGAGCATGACTACTTTACCTCACAACTTCTGTATGTCTCCCTTGAGCATGACTACTTTACCTCACAACTTCTGTATGTCTCCCTTGAGCATGACTACTTTACCTCACAACTTCTGTATGTCTCCCTTGAGCATGACTACTTTACCTCACAACTTCTGTATGTCTCCCTTGAGCATGACTACTTTACCTCACAACTTCTGTGTGTCTCCCTTGAGCATGACTACTTTACCTCACAACTTCTGTATGTCTCCCTTGAGCATGACTACTTTACCTCACAACTTCTGTGTGTCTCCCTTGAGCATGACTACTTTACCTCACAACTTCTGTGTGTCTCCCTTGAGCATGACTACTTTACCTCACAACTTCTGTGTGTCTCCCTTGAGCATGACTACTTTACCTCACAACTTCTGTATGTCTCCCTTGAGCATGACTACTTTACCTCACAACTTCTGTATGTCTCCCTTGAGCATGACTACTTTACCTCACAACTTCTGTATGTCTCCCTTGAGCATGACTACTTTACCTCACAACTTCTGTGTGTCTCCCTTGAGCATGACTACTTTACCTCACAACTCTCCGGTTACTCCAAGATGTATTTTTTTTTTTAACATCTTAGAATTTTCAAAAACAAAATCACCAAATTGTGACACAGCTCCCATTGCCAACAACTGTTGTAGATTTTTGGCGTCTGGTGACACAGTATAATATCTGCATTGTTATAGCATTTGAAGGAGACAGCGTTAATGAAGATCAGGTGATGGACGATACATTTTTGTTTCTTTATTTTTTTCTTTAAATTTGTAATGTATAAATATTTATTTATGAAACTTAATGCTATATCCCTTAATTAAAATATGCAGATTAATTCATATATATATATACATATATATATATATGTAAATATTTATTTTTAGAAAAAATGAGCTAGAATGATTTAATCGTATCATACAAATACATCAATAAATATTAAAGTTTCATTTTGCTTATTTGTCAAATATGCCATTATCATTTAGGCTTGAACATAATTCTAATTATCTCAAAACTTCAAATGTTTGTAATGACGCGAGCACTGAAACATAGTTTACAATTTGTGTTTTTAAGTTTTCTAAAATCTATGTCTTTCCACACTAAAAGACTGTAGCACGTTATCTGCCTAAAAGCGTTGACGAGCCATTGTCCTGTACACCATTTGAAATCCACACTGGGCCCGTGGCAGCCGAAAGCTTTTGGGATGAACAGAAAATAAAAGTATACCTTACCAAAACGAATAAGACTGTAAGACATGATTATATTAAGTGTTGTTTCCGTTTATCTCTAAATATAAAATTAATTGAACTTAAATTAATACCTTATGTATCGACTACCATTTAAATCGACAGCTAAGGCAAGGCTGCTTCCGTCTTTTGAAAAATTTCAATTTGGATCTTTCTGCAAAGGGTTTATTTTATACCTTTTATAATATTTCTGTCCTCGCTTTAATGTTTGGTCTTGGTTAAAGCTGTATTGTTTATTTAAGTGTAAACGAATTCATGTTTGTTTTAAAGATGTGACCAAGTTACTTCAAGTGACTTGATTGAAACCTAAATTTTGGAATGAAAAAATACATCTCAATTTTCAATTCTTTATAAGCTTTTTCAAAAACACTTTATGAATCAGTCAAGTCACTAAAATTTTAACATTTTGAAATTCATTTATATTATGCTAGACGACTTCAATCAGTTAGGACCATTGAGGAAACAAACTAAATATATTTTAAAGTGTATATTCTCATTGCCGGTTCTCTGTTTTTTTTTTAAATTTCTTTAAAGATATCCCAATATCGGAACCCTTATTTGCTTTGATGACCTTAGCCCATTGTCCCAGTTGCCCACTCTTTCTCTGGATGTACTTGAGTATTTTTGTCATATAATCAAACACATTTGTTTGCATGTCTTCGTCTCTGCGTTTTATTAGATGCCCATGCTCCTGATAGTTTTAACCAGTGCCTTGTATTTACCAATGTCTCCTGTACCCGTTTGACATCAATAACAATTCATAAGCGTAGACCTGTTGTTTTTTTTAGACAATAAAGTATCATAAAGGCCCATTGTATCACGTTTTGTAAATAAAATCATAAGCTTAACTTACTTTGAGAATGTTTAAAAACAAAATAAAAAATAAAAAAGGTTGATACCTTAAAATGTTTACACTTGTTTAAAAGTTCTCGGATTAACTGTTGCTCAAAACTTTTAATTTGAAGTAAAACAGCAACATGCATAAAACTATTAAAACTTCTCTTCCAATAAGACCTGAATAAGATGGAACATTTTAGTTTACGAGAACGTTTGGTGACTCTGCTTGACTCGACTTATAATTTGACATGTTTAAAAGTACAAAATACGAAAATTTTAATACTTTCAAATAGTTTCATTGGTTTACTTTGCTGATAAAAAAATAAATATTTGTATTTTTTGAAGGTAGATTTTTAAAAAAAACCAAACATTTATTTCTACAGAAAAGCACAGCTGATCACATTCTCAAACACATCAGATATCATTTAAATGATTTAACAACAGAAAATTTCCTGAACTTCATGAAGAAGATTCAAGTTTGTGCTTGCCAGGAAGAAGGGGTTGTCCTTTACATGTGCAGGTAAATAACTCTTATTAAACAATAGTAAAGGCGACTTTTTTTTTAATAAGAAGTTTTACATAACCTTAAACAGTTGACAGCCTTGCTACTAAATATCAGTTCTGATCTCAGCGTACTTTCATGAATCAATTAGATATTAGGTAAATCAAGTATAGAAATCATCTTATTTTTTTACAAATTGAACATCAGAATATTATTGGTCTCACCGCAGTAATCTACTTCCTCAGTATTTCTCTCCATTACAATTGACATCAAAGGTACTGCACATTGCTCTTTCTCTTTTACCTCTTCTTCTCCAAATGACTAACCGAGCTTACTAAACGAATGGTGATGACTGGAACATGTATTTTTCTAGTTACATAACGCCTGATGTTAATGACCTTCCCCATCCCAAAATGATACGTGTACGGTGCGTAATAATAACTTTATAATAATACAGGAGCAGGGGGGGGGGCCTTGGTCACGCTTCATAACAGGCTCTTTTGACGCACAGATTATAACAATTCGACCTGTACAGTTAACACCAATCTTAAAAGATGTATCATGTTGGCTATGAAATATAAACCGCCGCCATCCAACTGTATGGTCAATTTTCAGTGTAAACAAAATAAACTGAATTATTTGTTTTAATTGTCTCATTACTATTTACGTAAGAACTACTCCTCTAACTATTTGGAGATAAAACGTTCTGCAATACCAAACAAAATGACAAATAGTAAAGCGATGAAAGCAAATTTTATGGAACGATAATTTTCAACACCCCATTTTAGATCGAGGCTTTTGAATTCCTAAATATTCATTCAAGCATTTACCTATATATTCTTTGTTAAGTTTTAAGACATTTAAGTCTGATATTTTTTTTTTTTTTTTATATCTTGGTTATTTTTTTTACAATATTATCTGTAAAACCTAAATGGCAATTAACGTCAGGTCAATCGAGACTTAAACAAGCGCTCTAAAAATCCTATATATTCTTTGTTAAGTTTTAAGACATTTAAGTCTGATATTTTTTTTTTTTTTATATCTTGGTTATTTTTTTTACAATATTATCTGTAAAACCTAAATGGCAATTAACGTCAGGTCAATCGAGACTTAAACAAGCGCTCTAAAAAATGTATATACAAATGAATATATTTATATAAATTACAAATATGTGGCATCCTTCCATCTTTGCGAGACGATTGGCTCTCTAGGCTGCTCATGGAATGGCAGTCTTGGCAGCATTTCTCGCAGAATAATGTTGACTCCTTTTTTAGATTTTGACTTGTTGTTCTTTTTGTTGCAAGGGCAATGTTTTGCAGATTTTTTCTCCTGCCATTTTGACTCCTTCATACATTGCTTTTTCGCCAGCTGGAACATCGCTCAGCGATGATCTCACATTTGTTGATTTCTTTGTTGACTTTCCCTATGCTCATTTTGTAAACATCCATAAATCTCAGGCGTGGCCGTCAAATAAGTCTGTTCCTTCATCCAACTCTCCATACAGCAGATTCATTGGAATACAGCTTTCCTCCATTCTCCTTACTAGGCCTAACCAGCGAAGATGACTCTTACTAAGAAAAATAACAAATACCTGAGTAATTTTTCAATAAAACTTATTTTACAACATACAGGAACGGTGCTAAGTACAGTGGCTTAGCTTGCGTCCTGAATCTTCTGTTGGAAAGAATGGACAATGGACTTCACCTTACGATTCCCATCGCCGTAGGGGCTATCAAGTCTATAAGACCTGAAGTTATTCCATCTGTGGTATGCATTTAGCAGCAAGTAACACATAAAGCTGTAATGAAATAATGAACGTAATACATTGGCATTGTAATTAAAGACGTTTACACAATATTTAAAAAATATAGGTAGTAAATTTACATGTTTTAATAATTTTAAAGCGCTTAGAGCTTTATGGTAAGCGCTATATAAAAATGCCTAAATAAATAAATAGTAAATCGATGGGGTATTCTGGATTTCAGTTAAAAAGTCTTACTACATCTTAATACTCGGTTTTGTTATTTCACATCAATGACTATGTTGTATAATTTGGTTTCATTTGACAGGATCAGTACAAGTTTCTGTACCAAGTTTTACAGATGTAACATGAACGTGCCAACACTTATAGCAACATTGGCTCAGCCAAAGAAATATTCGTATACATCTAAAGTTTGGTTTGCTCTTATTTATTATAACAACTTATTAACATGTTCATGATTTGAACAGAAAAGTAGAATATGATTAAGTTCAAGGATACAAAACTAGGACATACAAAATTACGTGTTTATAAGAGTTAAACAATTAACACATTGTGTCCAGTTGAAAGAAGATCCCCAAATTAAAGCTTAATTTTTTTTTTAAACGCATTTGAAATTCACCTCGTATTAAGAATATGTGAACACTTGAGTGATCGTTTAAGCAGGAATTATATTTTGTACAGTGTATCTTTTTTATGTATTGTAATTTTTTTTTTTTTATTTTTGCTGGCTGCTTACGACATTTTTGCAAATAATTAAAAATCAAAAAGTATTGATTAAACAAAAAATATATATATTATATTATTTAAGCAAAATAAATTTTGAACACTACTATAAAGGTCAGAAACTTTGTTGTGTTCAAGTTATGTTTACTGCATTTGCCAGTTCCAGGAGTTTTTCCTATGGATCAATAGCTTTTCATCAATGGTTTTGGTCATGCCTGAGCGTGCTATCCACAATACGACTTTATAACATAAGATAAATTTGATCAATATGATATGTATGTGGCGACATATAGAGTACACAATATGAGGCGACGTATGGACGTGTTAAAAGACAGTTGCTTAGCCCTGCGATGAAAGCAGTGCTTCATTGCCTGTACACAAGTTCCAAAGTTGTCAAAAGCACTGAGCCTCTCAACCGTTGTTGACTTGAATTTCTTTTTCTAATATTTAGGTAATTTCCCGTTTACTGAAATCTCTACACAGAGTTAATCTACTCCTTTAGGATTCGAAACATAAATACGAATGTAATTTAATGCTTGCTAGCACTAATACTTGTTACAAGGCAATGTTTTTTAAGACCTCACTAGCAATGATAGGTTTTATTAATTTCCTCCAGCCATTCAGAGATTGATTCTAGGTTCCTTCTTAGCCGAAAATTTTAGAAGGAATTTGATGTATACCACGTTTGGCTTTGTTTCGACTTAGGCACATATTTATTGGATGTTATTACACCTTTGTAATAAATTATTTATCTTGATGTCGACAAAATTATCACTCTGCGGCTAGGTTTTTAATTCATTTCCAGAGTTGTATTTGATGTTGTATTTTTCTTCCCTTGGAATATTAACCAAATGTGTGTCCATGCATGTGATTAAGTTTTGAATGGCGTTTCAAGCTGATGTGGATGCAATCAAGGTAACAGGCAGAAATAGGTGTACTTTATTGACATGAAATAGAGAAGAAAGGGAGTAAACAATATATTATAACCTGTTTGATACAATTTGGTCAAAGCAGTGTAAGAAGCTCCACATCGACACATTTTTCTTTTCAAGCAATAATTTTATGTGTGGGTGTGTCTGCCAAGCTGTAGGTTCTCTAAAGGAATAAGTCATGAAGTTACGCAAATAAAGACAAGTCCTATGCTTAATGGTTCTCTTTCAAATTAGTAGTATCCAGTTTATCATTTCTAAGCACTTATTATCAAAGGGAAAGTAGTTTCTAATATATATTTAAGCAAATATTTGCTTATTTCAAACAGATAAGGTGTTTTTAACATTTCATTTTTGTGAAATTGTTGTAATCATATTTAGTGGAGTCTCGAAAAAAGAAATTGATACTTTAATTGCCGAAACATTCATAACGAAATCGAAACTTTATTTTTGAAAACATGTTCCATTCAATTAATTGTCTCCAGTAATGGTAATTTTTTTTTTTTATATTTTAAGAGTGCTTCTGTCAATGTAAAATTCTTTCATTACTTCCACATTAAACGTTACATTTAAACAACACCTTGTTTTTTTAGGGCTAAAACAACTTACAAAGTATAAAAATAACAGATTTGTTTTTTAACGCAACACTAAAACACATTTTAAGACATACTTTTTGAAATCTTTACCAGTTAGGCAAACATGTCACAGAAAGTTGATGATTAAATTGTTCTCGATACTTTTGGAAACATTTAATATTTAAAAAGAACCACATTTATCTGTAGGCTATTTATATCATTGTCAAAGTTTTGTTTTTTTCACTAATCCGACCGCAAACTTAAAGGCTTTGTCATCAATAAAAATAGAAAAAAATAGTTATTAATGGTGTTTTATTTCAGAAAAATTTGGTGCAATAGTTAACATGTCAATTTTTTTTTTCGTATTTACTTTTAAATAAAGTAATGAAGAATGGTCATGACGTAAGAGAAGTTAAGGCTTTAGTGAAATCGCTTTTAATGAAGTTATACTTTTTTTGCATTTTTTTTTACATTGATGTTAAAGCTAGTGTTCCGACTCCTTGTTTGACAATAACGATAGTTATAGCTCCGACTCTGTCAACAAGCCCTTGTCTTGTTTAAACACTACAAGGTGTATTAATATCATTCAGCTAAGCAATGTAACTTCCGCATCCTATTTGTCTCACACAGATTTTAGTGCTTGTTAATCTGTTAATATATAATTCAAGGAGCTGAAGAAATTAGAGATTATATATATATATATATATATTTAAATATATATAGATGTGGCAATGTGCCACTATTTGCAACTGCTTTTAGGTAACATTTTATATGCGGCAGTATAAAATCACAATAAACAATCAGGTCTCAGAACTATAGCTTTTTAATGTAAGGTACAATCCGTTGACAGAGCCGACAGGAAAATCTCTCACACCTGCCGCCGACCCGACGCATCCGTTCCACACCACAATCTCAAAAAATGTACACATGTTAAATCTAGCTACATAGATGAAACTGGGAGAAGATTGGCTGATAGGTTCACTGAACATCTCCGGGATATTGAACATGTCCCCAGTCTCTTCACATTTCAACA